GGCTCCCCGCCCGGGCGCGGGCCGGCCGCTGGCATCGCCTTCCCTCAAGGAGACGCGTGGAGATCAAACGGGGGCGAGGGGAAGGGATGATCTGGCTGCAAATGTCACCGGCGGGCCTCAAACAGGAGGACTGCAAGCCAGAGGGGTGCCGAGTAGGGAGGGAGTTCACCCTTGGAGCCTCCTGGCTCCGCAGGGCCTAGTTCGCGGTGCTGGGGGGCGATGGCATTTTGGCGAGCTGCACCGGGGCGGGGGGGCAGAAATACATCCAGTTGTTTTAAAAGCGCGGAGCTACGCTGCAGTGCGTGTGGGGTGGGAGGAAGGAACTTCAGATGCTAACAGGGGACTGCAGCTAGGCCTTTGGAAAGGGAGCAAGCGGGACTCTGTGTGCTAAACCGAAAGAGCCTACGCTGAAACCGAAGATCTTCTCAGGAAAGGAGAAACGTGGGTCAGCTACCAGGCGGCAGCCTGGCTTCCGCCGCCTCTGCGCACCCCGAAATACCGCAGGCGTTTCCTGCTCCGTAACACAGCTCGGGACTGAAAAGTGTCTGCAGTGCTAGGTGTGCGTCTTAACTCTTGCAAGTGTGCTGAGATGCCTGTGACTTCTTTTGCCGCCTGGTTTTAGAGTGGGCACTCCAACAGTGCAAGTTTTGTGGCCTTATGGCCTTACGTGGCCTAGATTGGCGATATTGTGGAATGCAAATGTTAAAAGTAAGTCTTGTTCTCAAAATGCTGCATTAAATAGGGCAGCTGTAGTTACTAGGTGGATTTTAGTAGTTCAACAAAACATCTCTATTGAGGGGGTTTTTTTAAGTAAAAAGAGCTGTTTCTCAAAATACTCCCATCTCAACCTGTTCAGACCATTTGCTACAAAAACTTCTTGAAGGTTGTGAGTATCAGATAGAGGTGGTTTTGTGTTGCTTCTCGTTTCACAGGTTAGAAAACGTGTCTAGAATTCTCTTGCTCCTGTCTTCATGTATCTTAGATTCTGTTGTCTGCTCCTGTTTTCAGTATTGATGTAGAGAAACCGTGTAAACACAGGTAGGTGCAAAGAACCTGGAGCCAAGGCCAACAGGTTTACCCCTCTTCTATTAGTGGAGGACAGGCTTTCTAGTTAATGTCGGGCTTGTCATGCTGGGTTAAGAGTGGCAATTTGATCTTCCGTGGAATGCGATGGTGTAATTCTAGGTCTTACTAGCCTTTGAGCTTTGGCTGCTGCCAAACAGATGCATTCTTGTCTTCCTCTGGTTGCAAGTGTTTGTATACCCTTGTGGGAAACCGGACTGGGAAGCCAATATGACTTCATAAAAAGCTTTTGGTTTTGTTTCCCCCCCCAATGGGTAAGTAAGATTTAAATAGTTCCCTAGTCTGCAGAGAATCAAGCAGGGCATGGTAGGACCTCTGCTTTCCGGATGGTGTGGATTAGGGTGTTTTAAAGTGTTTACACAAAACAATCTTTTGTCACTGTACTTCCAAAAGATCCTAATAACTTGACCTTATTTGTGAAGTGTGTCAGACCAAAAGTCATGGCTTTGACGTGTGATCTCTTAAGACTGCTGTGCAGCTGGATTTACTGTTCCATTTAAAAATATTTCATCGGCTAAACAAGATGTTCTGTAACCATGTATTGTTATCATTTTTGGCTCTGAAATTCAACTGTTTGTGGAATTTCTTTTTTATCTGGGCAGGTCTTCAAAAAAACCCTCTTAGGTTTGCGATCAAGAGTTTCAAATTTGTGCTTGCTTGAGACTTAAATTGCTACAAAACTACATCTTTTCTTTGAAAACTTTTCATATTTAGTGTCAGATGATATAGTCATAGTTAGTAAAAAACCCCTTTTTTTCATAAAATTTGAGTAATGTGATTGCTTGCCAAGTCTTTCAGATACAAAATATCATAGCTGGATTCATTTGTTGGTTTTGCACACACCTGATAAGTTGTACTTCAGTAAAATGGAAATCAGAAGTTAAAACTATTACAGACATTCCTTCTTCAAAGTTGGTTTTCCTTTACATTGCAGAGATAACTAGCAAAATGATGATTGGCTGCTTACAGTAATTGCTCTAAAATCCATGATACGCTTTGTGTCCTTTGTAGGAAAAATAATCCAATTTATTTGTAATAGACTTTTTTGAATTTCTAATTAGTAATATTCTACTGATCCTGTTTTTTGTAGGAGAGCATTGTCTTCATTCTTAGCCAAGCTTTCTGTCCAGTTGCTTTAGTAGGTCCTCATCAGTATTTATTTTAGATGCTATAAAGCAACTTACTTTCCTCTTGCTGCTTACATGGGCATCCTGAGGCAAGATGGAGTGGAATATGGAATGTTTTAACCAGATCTTTCTTCCATATTTTTGGTTTTTGCAGCCCTTCAGAGTAAGTGCTGACCAGGTGTATGGGTTATGGGACTGAAAGGAATTTCTCTAGCCAGCATTGCTGCTAAAGAAAACTTATCCCATAATTGAACTGCATGTTTCTATTGTTGCTTAAATTTAAGATCAAATATGGCTTATCACCACAACTTTAATCTCAAGTGCTGTTGCTTGTTGTTGCCACAACAGTTGTTAGAAACACTGGTTTTCAACTGTCATTCCAATTTTGACCTACTTCTATACGAACTCCGATTCCCACTATTTGTTCTAAGTAATACAAGTTGAAGATCACTGTTGCTTAGAATTTAATTTCTGTGCAATTGATTCTATGCATTCCCCCCCCCCCGGGT